TCTGATGGAGGATGAGGATGGCGCCTAGTCTGAGCTGCACGGCATGCTCACAGCCTATTAAGTCCTTTGAGTGAGGGCGCCGAAGACGATACCCGGTTGTGAGAGGTCATGGTCTCGGGTGTTCAGTTTTTTGCCTTCTTAAGATGGCGCGTAGTTCAGCCAAAGCCTTATTGTTGCTTTGGCGACGTTTATTGCGACCTTTGGTAAGTAATCTCTAGGACTTGGCGGAGAACATGTCTTTGCATGGATCCAGAAGAACCAGAAGAAGACCAGAACTGGGGACGACCGACTCTATATGTGCCGAATCACAGAGTGTTTTTGGCAAGAGCCAAAAGGGAAAGCGCAATGCGTGACCATAAGGGAAGGAAGGACTATAACAGAGATGCAACCATGAATACCTGGACCACAACTATAACCACAACGGCTGACTCCAGACCAAAAGCGAGTGGATGTTCGTATAGGACTTGGCCGAGAACATGTCGTTGCATGGTGCCAGAAGAACCAAAGAAGACCAGAATTGGGGACGACGGACTCTATATGTGCCGAACCACAGAGTGTTTTTTGCAAGAGCCAAAAGAGAAAGTGCAACGACTCCAGATCAAAACCAACAGACCGTTTCGTCCTCCTCGAGCGTCATAACTCCACATACAAGGCCAAACCCCAGACTCAGACTCAGAGTCATCCTCAGACTCAGAACCAGAACCAAGGAGAAGCAGAAGCGGTGGCAGAAAACAAAGACTCAAAAAACACACATCATCACAGCATACCCGGCTCCATAAGTTGGATGTCAAGAGACATGTCGCGCATAAACGAACATCTCTCGCAGGCGCTCGAGATCTGATCTGTGTCTGTGAAGAGGACGCGGGCGGCCTATTACTCGCTGCACGAGGGAGCGCGCGGTCAACTGGTGAATATAAGGGAAGCTTACCAAGTCATTCACCAAGGGGCAGATGCGCTGTACAAATATTGAATGGACCGCATTTGTAGTCGATTGCCTGTGGGCTTTAGTTTATCAAGCTATACGCGGCCGGTCGTGTATGTTCCCATCCTCGATGGTCTAACGGTCATGATTTCCGCTTGTCACTCCAACGAGAACGAGCGCGGGAGACCAGGGTTCGACTCCCTGTCGGGGAGAATTTTTTTGGCATGCATTTACTGCTTTTCTATATTTTTACGTGCGCCATACTCGCATTCTTGAATCTACTTCATATTATATTAAAGTGACCAGTAACTCGTACATTAAATAAACATACATCGTTGAAGATAGGGCTACAAAGCACAAGGTAAAAAAGGACAGACAAATCGATCGAGCCGCGTCATAGGTGACCTTCCCATCGAACTTCACGAGTACAAACCGATCGCAAACCGCTTCATCTAATTTTCATGATCACATCAATTTTGCTTCCACCGCTTACGTATAAACATTCGTCGGGGGAAGCAGCTTGGCACCATAGCGGAGATCGAGAGAGCGAGAGTCGTTGGGATCGAAAACCGCGGCCTGGCGCTGCTCGAGGTAGAGAGCTATCCAAGAGTTAGTCTCACGGCCCTCGTCGAGGGTTCATCTCACTTACGAGTGATTTTGATCATGTCAAACCAGCGAGCTGCATTCTCGTCACTACCGTCCATAGCCTTCAAAATGCCGTCTGTTCCCGGAGCCGCCTTGGGGGGCAAGCTGCGCATCTTCAGCAACATATGCAGAATGTCAGAGAAGCGATCGCCTTGGCTGGCATAGTATGGGGGACGCTTGTCCAGGGGCCACTGCAATGGTATTAGATACAACCGAGACAAAAGACCAATGAAATGACTTACCCGCTGCGCAAAATTCTCGTCATCCCAGGAACGGAATAGCCAGCAAGTTCGCTCAACGCAGTTCAAAAGCAAGAGCGCAACCAGGAATGTCTCGAACCAGCCGCTCTGCTGGCGCTGCAGTAACCTACGTTCCAGGTCATTCATCACAGACTTGCTCAGTTGAGAGGCCCGCTTCTCGGTCGCGGCGCGCAACTGGTTGCAAAGGAGCCCGTAGGATTCGGCGTTGGTAACCTCGTCAATAGGCATGCGGCCGTCATCTGACGGCTGTGCGAGAGAGTGCATCGAGGTGGGTGGCAGGGTTGGGTTGCAGTATGTCTTCCAGCGAAGCTCCGAGTCGACCAGGATGTGCGTTGCAACCCACAACTCCAGGACTCGTTCCAACAAGACGTCCTACATATGTCAGAAATAAGTCGCAATGCGTCAGACGGATGCTTACCTTCTTCTGCTGACTCAACTCCGACGCGAGCATCAGAGTGGACTTGATGATGTCAGAAGTCTCCCGCTCGTAGAAAAAAGGCGCTGTCTTCTTGATGTACATTTCAATCTTTCCAGGAAGGTCATCGGCATCGCTGTCGAGCAAGTAAAGTTCGTGCAGAGGACCCTGGAATTGCGGATCTTCTCCAAGACCTTGAAGCTGAGGATCAAGCGTCGACATCGATGGCTTGTGGCCTTGGAGTCCACTGAAAGTGATATAGACCATACTCTCTTCGAAGTGGGTAACCTCGATGCGGCCGGCATAGTGCTCGAATTTGACTTGATTCTTTATACTGCTGACATCGTGATATGCAAGGGTAGCATGCAAGTTTGCGTTGTAAAGCTCAAATTCCTCTGCAATACGAGTGCGAATGCATGGATGCTTCCAGAGACGAGCGCTCTCAACACTGGCGCAGGTAGTGCAGGGGCTGTCACCGGAGCACGGTTTCTTGAGCATGCGGCAACGGATACAAGCTCCTCGTTTGCGCACTTCTTGCACCTCCCTGCGTCTCGCGGCGGAGAAGCGACCACGCACCTTGGGCTTAGTTGGTTTGGTCGCGTTCCCAAACTCATTGACAAAACCCTTGGCCTGAGAGTTTGGATTCATGGCAATAGGACGAGGGAAGGAGGCCGCACGTTGAGTTGCGGCGGTTAGAGTAGGGTCATGTTCCTGAAGGCTGTCGAAGAGAAGCTGTTCATGACTCGAAAGCTGCTGGTTCCACGGGGATGATCCAAGCTTGGGCAGGCCATCCGACATGAGAGCGTTTGGATCATGATCCATCGGGATGCCCTGAGGGACCATCTCACTAGCCGATGCGGCGATCATAGACAGCTGCGACTGGCGAGCATTGGAGGTGGGATCGGGGGTCAACGAAGGTTCCACCAGCGGAGGGGACGCAGAGGAAGGATGGTCATTCATCGAAGTGCTTGGAAGGGAAGGAATGGCTGTGGCAGCCGAAAGCTGGGGGGTTCCTGTACAATAATCATGTTAGCGCGCGATACCAAAAAAGGGAACGAGATTGACAAAAACGGTGATCCTCGACTAAAACAAAAGAGAAGAATCTTACCAGGCGGTTTGATGTCCTCCTCAATATGCTCTGGCTGAGTAGGATGACCCTGAAAACCTTCGGCCTCGAGCGCCGGGTCAACAACCACAGTCTTACCCCCAACAGTGACAGACTGAGCATATGCAGGGCCGCCCCGTTTGGTCTGGTCGGAGGCGCCGACCTGTCTCGAAGCTTCGGCCAGCACGTTCAGGCCATCAAAATTTTGTCTTGTCGTGTACGGCAGATCAACCGATTTGCCTTTGCCCTGGCCCGCCAGGTTGGGATCCTTGTTCTGATCGCCGTCGGCAAGGTCGGGGAGCTCGTGGAGTCGCAGCAGAACGCGTTGTCTGTCACGTAGCGGGATCGCTTGACACTTCTTCACCAAATGGTTGGTCAAGCTGTCGATGCGACCTTTGGGGAATTTCTCCCCGCAGGCTCTGCACGTGTGTTGGTAACGATTACTGGCGTCCTCGAGCTTTTGACCCCGAATGAAAAACTCGAGGATAAGTTGGTTTGGTTTGCGACCCATGGCGAGGGCGTGTCGACAAGTGTGCGACCGGTCAGGATGACCTCGACAGTAATGATGAACAACAGAAACTATACTCTGAGACTGCAATCAAATAGCTAATTAGTGTCAAGAGACAATACCAATCACGAAAAATCACAGAAAACTGTATGATAGCACAGGATCACTAACTGTTGTGACGCACAGGTGAGACTCAGCCGAGGGGTGGAATCGATGGCAAAAAAAGATCCTCGCGACGTGAGCAACACAAGAGCCTGACCCGTCCTGTGGCAATGCCTACCAGCAGGAAGAGCCTATCAAGATAATAATCTCGTAGAAACAAAGAACAGAAGACTGCTTGGATTGAGATTGAGAGGACGGTAAGAAGACGAGGAGGAGATGGAGGAGTGGGATGGAGCAGCAATAATTCGCGAGGTAGCGGCAAAATGGCTTCTTCACAGGCGGTCTGGGGCCTGCCGCCTGGAAGCTTCACTGTGGCCACTGGGATGTGCTTCACCGCATGCAAGGCGGTGATGATGTCGGTGATGAGGTCGGTCAGTGTCTTTTATTTTTTATTATTGTCGTTTCTCATAGGCATGGATGTTTTAGGCTTGGTCATGGAAAGCATCTATGATGGAGGAGACTTCATAGCGAAATCCAACCACTCGAGTCCCCTCTTTGAGTCTAACTGTTGGCCACTTTTCCCTGTATGGGTTCTTCGCCTCTGCTGTACCATGTACACAGTCCACAGTCCACATACCCCCGAAATAACACGGTATCCAATATCCCAACTCACTGCATAATAGTAGGGATGCATATCCATCTAGTGACCGCCTTTTGTCCTCGAGCTGACAGGCCAAGGCCAAGACCTACATCGGACTCGACAGTAGTACGGACTCGCTATTCCCTATCCTGTCGATTCCGTAAGAAATTACTGGCTCGCTGCATACCTAGGTTCATGAGGTCTGCCTTACGCCAGCTGAAATTCGGTCACCAAGGAAAGTTAGACTGCTTGAATCTTGAGAAGTAAGATAGAAAAAGCAAAAAAAGCAAAAATAGTTCCTATTCAAGAGCTACCTAGGCCTACGTGACATATCATGCTGTCATCCATTCATCAGTCATCGGCCATCAATCATCAATCGTTAATCGCAATTCCGCCTGATACGTCAGCATATGCGATGCTCGGGAGGTCGCCATGGAACCCCCAGAATCTCAAAGATCCGTCTCTCATCGCGTCCCTCAAGCAGCCGGCCTTCGTTTAGCTTCCTCCGTTGCTCTCCACGTAGTACATCTGCATAAAGTCCTCGTTGGTTCAAGCGCATCCCCTTCTTGCTCGCCAGCAGTCTCATGCTCCGGTTGAATATGTCATTCCCAGTGAAATAAATCAGCGCGGCCCCTATTTCTGATCCAGGTACAAATAGAAGATCAATGCGGCGCCAGGTTTTACTGCCAGGCAACACAGACGCTCCGTGCCATTTGGATCCGTCGCCTCGGGAGGTACTGGCGAGACTGACCTGAAGAAAGCCGTCTTGAAAGAGTCGAGGAATCACATTGTCCATCATCACCGCCCTGATCTGCTCAATCGTGGCATCGCCTTTTGTGATGAGCAGATCGATGTCACCTGAGTCGGGCGCCCCACGCCGGTAAGAACCACCGATGATGACCTGCATCCCAGGGTCCGACCTCTGGACCGCCTTTCGGACGATTTCTCCGTGGGCTTCGACTTCACGCCGCGGAATTCGCTGGGCAAAATCGTGGTAGTGTTCCACTCCAACCCGCTGTGATTTCGTCAATGATGCTTTGGTCTTGAGATCATCCAGCGACCTGTAGCCCTGAGCAATCCATCGAGACGCTTGCGATATGCCGGCACCGTAGACCCCCAAGAATTCCTGTAGTATGAGATCTTCGGGTGTATTGTTTGCGTTTTCCAAACGACGCAGCCGGTTAGTAAACACGATCTCCTCGACCTTATCTGCTAAGCGCGGCCCTATGCCGGGGATAGCACGCGCCTGCGCTCTGGTGACGATCTTTTTCGGTTGTCTGCGAAGCGCAGCGATCGCCTTTCGATAGGCCAACGTACGCCACTGATCCGATGTCCTTGTATAGTAGTCCAGCATTTGCTGTAGGACTTCGATGGTCTTACTGTTCGGGTTGTCTAGCTTGGAATTTGAATCATGCTTTTGCATGCAAGCGAATTTCTGCTGCCAGGCCTCTACCAGCTGGTCCTCTTTAGAGGGGTGTCTTTCTTTCTTCCCAGTCGATTCTGTATCGGACGCGTCCGAGGCCTCTGTATCATTTGCTTCGACGGAGCCTTCCTCCAGAGGGTCCAAAGGCTGCAGTTGGGTCAGCAGTCATATTCGTCGATAACGTGTCGACACTCACCAAGTCTTTTACGGCTTTAGCTGCTTCGATCATGTCATCCAAGGCATCTCGCTCGCGGGAAGAGAGTTCTGGGACAGGCTGTTCTTGATGTGCTTCATTCGAGGGCGTCTCGACGGGCTGTTCAAGGGCGTGATCGACAACGCATTGATCTCTGGAGCCCTGAGATGGAGTAGGAGTGACTTGTTGGTTTCGACTTGGTTTCAAGGGTAAAGAAGCGGTCGAAGGCGTCTCGTTTGTGGGGTGTGTCTCTACGGCTTCAGGGCAAGGTGCTCCATGGACGCGGAATCGAACAAGCGTTGTGCTTAGCACAGATTTGAATTTTATACACTCGGAAGGATAACTTTCGTCGAGCAAAGCAACATTGGGCTGCTAAAGTCAGGAAAATATGCAATAGCTGCACAGCTCACAGCATACTCACCGGGAAGGCCTCGAGTTTGAGATGTTTAAGAACATCTTGAAACATCAAACCTTTGTCAACTATCACATGAGTGATATCAGCTTCCCACGTCTTCGCCCAGGTGGCACCGTACTCCTGAGCACGCTGAATCCGTAGGCGCCGAAGAGGCGAGACATTGTTGTTAGGAAAGAAGACTGGCAACACTGTTAGCAGTTGGAGAAATCCTGACTGCATATAGCCAGGTACTCACAGAACACAAGGCCCTTGAAAATCTGCTGCTCTTCAGGAACAGTCCTAGAGGCGGTCACCCGTCTCCGTTTAGATTGCTTGTCGCCTTCTGAACGTCCAGTCAAGGTCCCGGTAGTGTTGGATCTTTTGACCCCGGGCTGCAAGTCATCGCTACCTGGAGCGAGCATCCTGCTATGGGTGCTTGAGTTTGCGATACTGGTCGAAGTAGACTGAGGAGCTGAAGTCGCACGTAGCAGTTTGAAAGGTTGTGTATCTTTGCGACAATTTGAAGAGCAAAGATTGTCACTGTTTCTCGATCGTTTGATAATATGAGACAATTCAATATCAGCCTCATCCTCCGAGTCGTCCGTCAAGCAATCCAGCTGTTCCAGTGCCTTGAAAAAGGCATCTTTGTCCAGAGTCTTCTCTGCCATTCTCTGGCCTGGATGGGGTTTGGTTGCGCAAAACTTTGCGAGAGCGCTCGAGCCATGGATGTGACTGGTGCCGGCTGCCTAACAGATAGCTTTGACTATTGGAGAGTCTACTTTGGTATAAATCGATGTCGTGATGCTGACCATTAGACTTACACGCGGCCGAAGGCAGATACGCGTGTGACAAGCACGAAAGTGCCACCAAGTCACATGACTGGAAATCAATTAAATTACTCTTTAGTCAAACAGCTGTCGGCGATCCAGCAAGCTTGAGATTACCTTAGCCAGTGTGGTTCCAACCATCTTAATTACCACTCATTTAGCCAATTCGGCTTCGATCAGCATGTGGAAGTCATCAATGCGTCTATCATCACTCGCAGACGCATCTCTATTACAAGGTGGCCGCTGCCTCAGCTGTCAACTCCGCAATGTCAGCAGACTGCAGCCATCACTGCGCTACTATGCCACTAGCAGAAGCAAGAGCGGCGACGACGTGAAGCCTGCCACAGCAAGCAAGCCAACCCCGACCGACAAGTTTCAGTTCAAACAGAATGATTCACCATCAGCACCTCAGCCTGGCGATGCGGACTTTGTCCCTCCGGCCCTCGACCGTCCCATCGGCACAGTGATTCCGCCTCAAGAAGGACAAAATACTGGCCTCGACGAGCGATCACTGCAACAAAGACGGGACGATTTCGTCAATTACGATAAACACATAGAGAGGCGCAAGGAATTGTATGAAGCTCCGTCCACCGCTTATCATGTATAGCATACTAATCACGCCGCTATCAACAGAACAAGACAAGTCGCGAAACCATACTTCAGAGAATGGTCCAACATGCGCTACCACGAGGGTAAAACCTTCAGATCGAACCCCCGATTGTTCAAACGAGACAAAGCCCTCTACTTCCCCAACATGTACGGTATCACTCTTGCGTCGCCGAAACAACCGCAAAACACCACCTCGATACTCCGCGGCAAAGTGTCCGTCGTCAATGTCTTCTCAAGCGTCTGGGCAGAGTCGCAGGTTGCGACATTTACGGGCCCAAAGCAGAACCCTGGTCTATGGGAGGCGATGAAGACCGGAAGCGAGCTTGTGCAGAAGGTCGATATCAATCTGGAAGAAAATGCGATGAAGGCTTGGCTTGTTCGTACTTTCATGTGGCGGATGCGGGCCAATCTGCCCAAGGAGCAACATGAACGGTATTTCCTTGTGCGCAAAGGTCTTACGGATGGGTTGAAAGAAGCAATCGGAATGATGAACAGTAAGGTTGGTTATGTCTATCTGCTGGACGAGAACTGTCGCATCCGATGGGCAGGTAGCGGGCCGGCAGAGGAAGGCGAGCTGGAGGGATTGAACAACGGTGTCCGCAAATTAATTCAGGAGAGAAGAATCAGTCTCGAGTCGGAGCTACCTGCTGAAGAGTGGGCGGGAAGAAACCAAGGTGAATCCGCAAGTCTGAAGCCTAGAGTGGTCATGCGGTGAGCCCTGGAGCTATAGCAGTCTGTCTCTGTATGTACATATAAATAAATGTGAAATAGACAACCTGAAACGCCATGGCCATTGTGATTAGTGCTTGCATGCAGAAAAGGAGTACATGAAAACCCAAACGCCGTGCGATATCCGACGAAGAATCAAAGCTGAGCAAGTAATTATAACAGAGAAGTCGGCGGTATATCATCGGAAGAAGAAAACCATCAAGAAACAAAACCCGATGAAAGCTCCCAAGATGATTGCGTCACGTCTCCTCTTCGTACCAATCTTACCGATCAAAGCATTCATTCCCGGTACCTTATTGGCAGCACCGACGATACGGCGATTGATGCTGGCCAGGGTTTCACGTTGTAGCCCAAAACTCTCGTTGATCGCATACGCCTGGCTTAGAACGCCATCTATCATATTATGGCTTTCGTCTATACGCCCGCGCTCCTCGAGCATGTAGTCTGCCTCGGCCGCGGCGGGGTTTGAATTGCGGTAGGCATCAATGTCGGAGCGAACATTGGACAAAAGATTGGCTCGGTCGCGGGACTCTGCGATTGCGGCGTTCAGGCGCTGCAGTTCACGGCGATGATCCTGGAGGACTTCGCGATTGCGGGCCAGATTGCTCTGTTTCAGGGCGGATGCGGTAAGAGTGGCTTCGGAGTCGAGGAGACGGGAGAGCTGGGAGACGAGAGCTTCACGCTGCGATTGAGACCGTGTCAGCAAACATGTCCGTTGGGCGGGGTTCTAGGGACCTGAGAGTACATACCCGTTCAAGAAGATCCTTCAGTTGCGATTCAATCCGTTGTTCTTCTTCTGAGGGTTTCGGAGGCAGCTTCGTCATCGATGCATACTGCGCGTAGGTGTGAAACAGACTCTCGGTCTAGAGACAATACTGTCAACATTTGAACCAGACTAAAACATATTAATAAAGTAGCTTCAGATTTAGTACCTGAGTCTCAAGCGAACGGACTTGCTGCCGAAGCTGAGCCCATCCGGTCCCAGTCGAAGTTGCCATAGTCTGGTTCGGGGTCGGGTCAGAAGCTTCTGTACAAAGTGGTGGTAGTAGTAAACCCGCGCCCCAGAAATGAGAGCAATAAATCGTTGGATCACAGTACTAAGTGCAGCGACGGGTCATCCGGCCGTCCAGGCAGTCATTAATAACACTTCCACAGAGACCAAGAACAATGCCATCATTCGACGATGATCCTCCCGGCCTATCTGACAGCCGGTTGGGGGGTTCCGCCGGGGGCGGCGTCACCCAGCAATCAGCCACAGTCACGTGCCCGCTTAGCCCAGCCGCAGCGTGACCGCACCAACACAGAAAAAAACCCTAGTCCCACAACGAACATCCCAAATTGACCCGGTCCATCTTCAATCCTCACTGTCGACAATACCCGTACGACACGACACGAAGCCGCCCACCATGGTATGTTGAATGCGCAATTTTTGAATTCGGGCTTTTTTGGAAGTCGCTGGGGGTTCGTTATGCTGATGAATTTTAGTCGACATCCAAGGTCAAGGCTGGTCAGCTCTGGGGAAAGAGCAAGGAAGACCTTTCCAAGCAGCTCGAGGAGTTGAAGACCGAGCTCTCCCAGCTCCGTGTCCAGAAGATCACTGCCGGTGCTTCGTCGAAGACTCTGAGAATGTGCGTTTGAACTCGAAACCCTTCCGCATCTGCGATTCTACCTCGGAAAAATAAAACAAGCCCCAAATATGACAAGGAAATTTATTGGAGGAACAACGGAAACAACAGACTGGGAAGAATCGGGGCCTACCAGAATCGCAGATTGCGCAATATACATGAAATGTTTTGGGGATAGGAATGCTGATTTGCTGCGGTTTCTACAGCCACGACGTTCGCAAGTCGATCGCTCGCGTTCTCACCGTCATCAACGCCAACCAGCGCGCCCAGCTCCGTCTGTTCTACAAGAACAAGAAGTACACTCCTCTTGACCTCAGACCCCGCCTCACCCGTGCCCTCCGCCGCAGACTCACCAAGCACGAGGCCACCCTCAAGACGGAGAAGCAGCGCAAGAAGGAGATCCACTTCCCCCAGCGGAAGTACGCCGTCAAGGTATGACCATCGCAATGTGCTCCCGCCTCATATCCATGCGGCCAGGAACCCCCCGCAATCGTGCGGTATATTCAGTTCAAGCCAGCGGAGTGACTAACGAGGAATTTCCCACAGGCCTAAATGAAGACCAACGTCGTTTCTGGATCTGAAATGGAGTTACGGGAAGGTCGTTATAAAAGATGACGAGTTCGACCTTGAAACCTTGCGTGCGTGCGGGGGCTTCGGGTTTCAGCAAAAATCTTTTAAAAGGTTGATTTTGTATCTTAGAGATGTGAGATGCAGGTCAATAATACATGAAGGCTTTACTTGACATGACATGACAATCGCGATTTTTACTTTTTTTTGAACATTTGTTCCCACGGATTTATGGTCTCGATCTGAGCCGGCCTTGTTGGAGGTCATTGCGAGGCCCAACTAGGTTCGATCGGAGTATAGACATACGTAGATACTTCAAGACACGGAGTGGATGTTTTCTGACAACCATCTTTGTCATCGGTACCTTCCGTTTACTCGACATGAAGACAATCTCTCAATCAACTCGAACATGTTCATTAGACTTCATCGCAATTATATACTAACTCGAACCAGCCAATCCAGCAGCCACCAGTGCGGGCGTACGTCCCGTCGCCTGACCGACCGGCGCACCCGACGACTGCGCAGAGCTATACACACTGGGCTCCAGAGTCCACATGCCCCCGCAGACACAAGCTCTTAACAGACCCAGCTTCGCAATCATGCGGAAGGAGAGCAGCGACCGCGGTGGATGCGTGTCGCTAGAGACTTCGCAGCAGCGGACGCACCGCCGCCGACGCTGCTGCACCTGCGTGCTGGATTTCCCGCTCTGGTTTGCATTTGCACCTGCGCCTGCGCTAGGCTCCGGAAGAGCAGATGCAGTAGGCCTACAGGGGATCTTCTTGATGATGTCCACGTCCCGGTTCCGCCGGTACATCTCGGTGCGGCGGTCGTTAGACAGGCCCAGCCAGCTATAGTCACCCATGTAGATCGTCATACGGTCGATCTCCGTTTTGAGCGCGGGGACCGTCTGCCGGAGGATGGTGGACACCGCCGGCACCAGCACGGGAGGCACACGGGCGTTCACCAGGAGTTCCTTCTCGGGGCCTGGGCGTTCGGCGTCGCCGAACCCGGCGCCGTGATAGGCGTGGCGCACGGCCGAGTCCACGCCAGCGAGGAACTTTTCGTATGCGTCGATACGTATGGGTGCGGATTCCAGCGTTTGGTAGATCTCCGCGTAGTAGACGCGGGCATCGCCGCTTAGTGGCGCTGCGGTCGCGTAGCCTGCGTAGATCCCGCGCAAGCCCCGGCAGATGAACCGGAGGAAAGCGCGAGACATGCTTGAAAGGAGGATTATGAGAGGAAGGGAGCTTGTTGATTTTACTGCCGGGAATGGAGGTTAGCATGAGACTAGGTATGTAGAGGCGAAGCACCACGAACACTTTTGTGTAAATGCCTCCTGGTCGCCTGATAGGCTTTCAAAGTCATCTGCGAGATCGAATAGCTCGTTAAGCACGTAGAATGAAAAGTCAAGGGCCCATTTGGTGTTCCCGAGCACCATGCGCAAAACATCTATGCAAACAGAGTACGGTTAGCACAGCTTCGTAATCAACCAACCTAGATAAATCTCACCAGGGTCATGCGGCTCTGTGGCACCGCCTTTGTTGTACTGAAAGAAGAACGCATATAGCACCGACGCATGACGAAGCTGGAGGACGGCCCAAGGTATAGAGGATGCGAAGTTCCGCGGGATGTATTTGTTCTTGAATCCCAGAGCAGCTTGAATACTTAGACAGCGCGGAATGTAAGGATGGTTCATAAGTTTATCCTGCTCTACTGTAAAGTTGCAATTTATAGGCAAAGCACGGTACGCTTCGTTGATGAAGGTGGCTTGTGCCTCTGTATATTGTTAGCGGAAAGGATCATTGCAAAAATCGAAGGATGTGAACTAACCGGGTGTCAGTTGGCGTACAAGAATCAACAGAATGTCGTCTGTATTCACGTCGCTTCCACATCCACGGCAAAAGGCTAGAGTCAGCGCTGCAATAGCAGCGGAATATTTGTCTAGTGTGATATCAGCAAATGCGCCAATTCATGACCTTGCAGTTAAGGTACGTACTCTCATCATGAAGTCCGCCCTCAGCCCCGTAAGAGTGCTCCGTGAGCCTTAGGTGAGTTTGTCCCTCTCCATCAAGCATTACAGCAGCACAAGCGTTTGGTGAGAAACTGATATGAAGACCTGGTGCAAATCCATGAATCAGCGTGGCCGAGGCAATGGGGCCGAAATATTACCGACCTGAAGGCTCTAAGGGGTGGTGAAAGCCCGCCTGAGCCAAGCTGGTTACAGTGTTTGCATCGTCGACACCGTTGAACACAGCCATGGTCTTGGGATCATAGAAGACCACAGAGCCGTCATCATATGTGATAGCGAGCACATTGCCATACTCGATCTGGTCTATCGAGATGGCGTACTTGTCGGAATACACATCATCCAACCGACGCAGCTCCAATTTCGGCTATCTCAATTGTTAACACGGATACAAACAACCTTCACCGTCAAAGTGCTCACCTTGATCTGGGCATTGTTTTTCTTCGAAGGGACGTCATCAAATTTCGGGTGAAGAGTCAATGGACTGGTGTCCAATTGCCACCGTACAATGACGCTTGCAGGACCTTGTTGCTGAGGATGATCCTGCGTGACGTGGAGAGGAGCTGAATAGACGGCAACCACCCAAGGATTTGCCGTTGAGCCCGCTGGGTTATCGAGGGCTGGAAGCACAATATCCAAGCCGGTAAGAGAGTAGAGAGAGTTGGTAAATGAGGGCAAGCCCTGTGCATTATCCCCCGCATTGCGGTTCGTGCCTGGTACGTCGTACTGAGGTTCGACTTTGCAATGGAGGAAGCGGAAGGAAGGGACAGGCCAAGGGGCTGGCGGTTTTTGCTGGCCAGCGTCGTATTGAGTCGGGGTCCAGGCGATGTGAACGCGATAAAGACAGATCTTCTGGCATGCTGAGTGTGTGGCGACGAGGATGCCGCCCTGCGTAGATACCAAGGCCGCATGGGTCAGGAGTCGGTCTGAATAGCCTGTATTTTTGAGTTCTGCAGAGATCTCTGCCCATCTGCTGTCGGGATTCTGATACAACAGTCGAATGATTCCAGACCTGGTCACGCAGACCAGACCTGCCTTATTCACTGGATGGAACGGGCCAATTGGACGACGACGAAATGGCGAGTAGGCCCAGCGTCCCTGCACCTTTGCCGCTTGATAGAAGGAATGCACCTGTCCTGACAGTGAGCCAAGGGTCCAGGAAGATCTCCAGATCGACGAATACGCACCGTGCGTTGGGTGTTCAACCACATCATACCTACTATTTGGGCACCGTCATCATCGGGATCAAAAGCTGCTTGGCGATGACCAGCAATACTATTGAGTGCAATTGAAATTGAGTAGATGGATACCCGTCCTGAAGAATCTGCCACCGCCAGTTCGGCCCCTGGCTCATTCCAGCACAGATGGACCAAGGTGTGTCCTCCATGAGCATCGGTGACTGGCAGCAGGGGGGTTTCGTCGCTGAGGACCCATTTTCCATCTGAGGGCCGACACTGGAGGTGACGGACATTGACTCTCAGACCGTCCTGGGAGATGTATGCGATACATCCGAGTTTTGACCATGCAATCTTCCTGATGTGAGCGTTAGATTTGGTACCATGCTTGTAAACTCGCAAGCTTAAAACATGATACTTACTGACAACAACCTATCAGTCTCATTTCATCTAAGCGTTGTGCAAGACCTCTTGGAGAGGCAGTAGAAGGGGACAAACCCAGCTCGAGGGAGCCGGGCTCTCCAAACAAATCGTCAACATTGATGCCGTCTTCCATGATCAAGGGCATTTTGAACAGGCAATGTGTCTTGATTTACGACAGTATCGATGACAAGGTACAGATTCAGAGAAATGCCAGCACCATCATTATCCTCCAGGCATTAGAAGCGATGGCCTGCGAGACTGGAGAACCCGTTCCAACGTGCGCGATATCCAGACAATCAACTGCACGAAACGACCAAGGATTCTACCTAATCAGGAAAAATTCAACAATGTCATATCAATGAGTTCTTTGCCATGATGATGATTTTTCACCTTATCATTATGCCTGTATCTCACGCTTCTTCTATCAGTAGCATCATTCACAGTTCGTTCTCCACATTAATTCAATAATCAAGCTGATCAGTCATCCGTCATGTGATGTCATGTGGGCCAATCTCCCGGCCAACCGCTCAACCTGCCATGATTGGCGCTTCCGACTGTACATTGAGGGATACAACAAAACCCTTCATAACGTCGGCGAGGTTAGTAGAAAAAGCATCCTTACATTGATCTACAAATTCCATGCGATAGACTACGTGTATTCAAGTTAATAGCGCACATCCGACTACTCTGAGCATGACATATTCTGCGATATGAGGAGAAAACATCCACTGCACCGTCTTATAACAGGCTGTCTACAATGCGGGAGCTTGGTGGATAGTCTCTACTGTCGCAGATTGAAAGACACAAGGAACTCAGTATTCTTGCAACGGAGACGTACAAAGCTCTGTGGATATGTACCTGGGTGCCATTGAAGCCTTCCAACCTGACCTGATATGTCTTGAGCTCTCAAAAGTGTGGCCCCAGGCATTTTATAAGGCTGACCAATGAAACTGCAGGAATCAAGGACGGGAACAATCAGCCTAAAACTCTGCAATAATCATAACAATAATGCATCAATGCCACAAGAATCATCTCATCATAATGTGAATGTGAATTCAGCTGGGAGTGAATGGATGATATGGCTCTCAATTGATGTTATCTAATGCAGCAAGTCTTCAGATGGCTCTATTTGATTTCCATCAAAATTCAGTAGAACAAGTCCCCTATAGTTGTAGTCTTGTAGATACCCTTTCGCTCCGTCTTAGCCACAAGACCCGTCCCTTTCCATTGCCAAAGAACCCTTAAACCGCTACTACGAAGACGATGACGATCTCCATTGCCGTCTGATGATACCTTATATATTGCTATTACTACCAACCCTTCACATCGCCAACAGCCAACAGCAACATTCCTCCTGACATACCACCTGTTGCTCTTCGACCCTCATCAACCCTAACGGCGATTCCATTAGTCTTGGTCCATGATTTCTTCCCACCACGTCTGATCCCATCACGTCTGATCCATTATTTGGCTAGCCATCGGCGGTGCTTCTTCCCGTCGTCTCTCCCCGTGGGTCAGTCAAAATAAACACAACCACCATCGGCACCAAGCGAGAGGCCAGACAGACAGACAGACAGACTCTGCTCAAGCAACAATCTTTTCTTCCACAACGACAACCACTTTCCCCTATGGCTTAGGTTGTGGTTATTCACACTCCCCTGCTTCCTCATTCTTGCCTGCTCTTTCTATTTCCCGTCTATATTAATCCCTCGGCCTACTTTTCTCCCTGAATTTCTCTCCGTCAATTACTCTTAATTCCCAGCCAAAAGCTGGTTCGACTCTTCTGAGGCGAGATTCTGATTTTTCTCCGGATTGCTTTACCTCAATTACGTGTTCCATCTTTCCCATGATCGTATCTCAGGGCAACTTCTAGCTTTTCCCTGTGAAAAGCTCCTCTTTCTTCCTAGCACCTTTTCTCCCTCTCTTCCCACGTATTTTCCTCAAGAAATACGTGATCATCACAGCTCTCCATGGCGCCGTCTCCGCCCTCTTCAACAACCACCGCGTCCTCCTTAACCACCTCATCATCTACCTCTTCCTCTCAAACATCTACAATTTCAAACGAGAGGTGGAATCCTAAATTCATGGATGATTCCGACCTTTCAGAGCTTTCAGAGCTGAGCTCTCCACCAGCATCCCCTCAATCCCCTCCGAGCTTCATTCCCTCGCCGCCTCCATCTCAAGACGCGGGCGACTCGTCTAGCGCCGCACGCGGCCAAGGCGGCCTCTCCCCCGCCAGAAAGAAGCGTCGCGTAGCCACCCCCAAAGAGCGCACCACGCAACAGCTCGATCTGTCCGGCGATTCAGGGCTCAGCTTTGGCGAACAGCAGGCCCAGGTTGATTTACTAGTCAAAACGCTTCGTCGTCATCGCAAGATTGTCGTCATCGCGGGTGCTGGTATCTCCACGTCTGCAGGCAGTATGCAATACCTTTCAGCCTCATGGTGGATGAGAGAAGAACAAACACGCTAATTGGCTGATCTATGATTATAGTTCCTGACTTTCGCTCTACTGATGGCCTCTTCAAAACACTCCAGAAAAAACACAACCTCAAAGCTTCCGGCAAGCTTCTCTTCGACGCTGCCGTCTACCAGGATGAGTCCTTGACCGCCTCCTTTCAGGATATGGTGCGGTCGCTGTCGGAGGAGGCGGCCAAGACCTGCCCGACCGCGTTCCACCACATGCTAGCTCGTCTGGCACAGGAGAACCGGCTCACACGACTGTACACTCAGAATATCGATGGCATTGAGACATCGATGCCACCTCTGGCAACCCAGATCCCTCTGAACGTAAAGGCACCCTGGCCGCGCACGATCCAATTGCACGGCAGCCTCGACAAAATGGTCTGCCAAAAATGCCGTCATCTTCTCGATTTCGACCGGGAAATGTTCAACAGGCCTGACGCTCCTGAGTGCCCCGAGTGCTCGAAGAATAACCAATTTCGCATCGAGACCGGACAACGCAGTCACGGAATTGGCAAGATGCGACCGCGGATTGTACTGTACAACGAGCACAACCCGGACGAGGAGGCGATTACCTCGGTCATGAATGCAGATATCCGGTCACGACCAGACGCCCTGATCGTGGTCGGCACTAGTCTGAAAATCCCCGGCGTACGTCGTCTGGTGAAGAGCCTCTGTTCCGTGATCCGCACGCGTCGCAACGGCGTCACTATGTGGATCAACAACGAGCCGCCTGCCGGCAAGGAATTCGAAGATTGCTGGGATCTGATGGTCAAGGGTGACTGTGAAGAAGTGGCGCGGCTTGCMGGTCTGAAACGCTGGGATGACGATTCCGAGGACGTGTTTGACGAGTGCAACTCCTCCGAGGTCGAGCGGGTGAAGAAGGAACAAGGTGCTGTATCCATTGTCATCCGAACGCCGAAGAAGAAGCAGAAGACGCAAACAGGAATTCTTACGCCTTCCTCTAGCCACGACGAGGAGTCAGCAGAATTGCGACACAAGCACCCATCGAACGGTGGCTCTCTCAACAATCCTGCCAGCCGGGGACGGAGTCTCAAAGATGTGCTCAACAAAGCAAAAAGCGGCGAACCCAAGAAAGCCGCGCCGAAGAAGAGTGCGCCCAAGAAGCGAGGCAAGAAAGCCGACCCGGCGCACAATGCAAAGATCACCGCCTTCAGCAAAGTCACCAAAACTTCGAGGGCAGCGACTGGCGATACTGGCAAATCCGTCAAACTGGAAAAGGATGATACGAAACCGATGCATCCGCTTCCGCCTGGTGCGGCGCGCAATAACGGGCCTCTCTTCCCTAACCTGGTCGGTAAAGGAAACACTTCTCCGTGCGCTGGACTCTGGAGCAACCCTGACACGATTTCTCCCAAATCGGTTCCGAAGGGGATGAAGGATCTACTCAATCCTCCGAGTCCGTGATATTTCCGGTTCGAGTTTGACATTTCTGTACTATTATTTTCTGAACTGCGAGGACTACCGGACGACCGATCCTCATCTGATGTTGTTCGCGGATACCACTGATAGACTATGTGCATATTTGGCGTTGGGTATGGGGATGACTTTGAATTCAATGCACCAGGTCTTGCATTGAAGCTGAATAGTCGATGGATGCTCATGCGGCTAGATTATCCTGTATTTCTTGCTGTATACTCTACGGGATCATGATACTTACTGCACGCATGCGATAATGCGATTGCTTTGAACACGGCGTTGGTAATGCTTGCTCTATTCACTTGACAGCTCAGACGAGCTACTGAATCAATAATACGTGTCAATGACACGAATTTCGTCAAACAATCTCTGTATACGTGGTGGTGCTCATCAAATCGGTATTCATTGCGTAGTCTGATGTCTCCGTCTTAAGCAAACGTTCCTCAATATTGTACTATCCCAAACCCAGCCCACTCTGCAGCTGCGTCCCAGGCCCATACTCGTCTTCGCTCTCTGTCTCATCCGCAGCATCAGGATCCATCATCCGCCTCGGTCGCGAATCGCGATCCAGATCTTCCACCCGATCAATGTCCTCTTCTTGTGTCTCATCTTCATCCTCTTCGTCCTCATCCTCGTCCTCGTCCTCCTCATCTTCCTCAATTTCCTCCTCATTCTCCAACCCGTGCTCCTGTTCCTCCTGCGTATCATCTTCATCCTCCTCCTCATCCCCAGCCTGAGCACTAGACGATCCCACCGCCTCAACCCGCTTCACCCTCTTCGCCTCGTGCACTGCGCTCTCCTCGTCATCTTCCTTGGGGGGACCCTGCTGCACCGCCCCAGCCTCAGCATTATCCCCCGCCCCAGACTTCCTCGACTTCCGCTTCCCAGCCTTCAGCTCCGTAAACGCCTCCAACTCCTTCTCAAGCCTAGGCTGGAACGCCTCAAGCTCCAACTCGGACAACGCGGCGAAGACATCCGCAGGGGTAACCGTTCGTTTGAGCGTCGCCTCGTTTGCGCTACTCTCGTCAGCATCTGCCCACACCCCGCTTCACCCTCAGTGAACAAGAATGAAAAGAAAGAAAATACATACTGCGAAGCAAGATACGACACAAACACCGTCGCCGCCTTCTGGATCGCTAGCACCGCATCCTTCTGGATGGCTGTGTTGGGGGGCAGGACCGCTTTCGCTAGTCGGAGGGTGAGCGACCGCGGGAGGAGATAGTCCTGCATGCATTCCCATGGTATCAGTCTTCTGTAGTTGTAGCGAATCGGGAATGGCTTATGGGGTATGGTTATATGCTACCTCTATACTCACGCCCTCGGCGCGAGCTTTGAGCTGCTGCTCTGTGGCTTGGACGTTCTGGACTGGGGAGGTTTGCGTCTGCGGTTGCGGCGAGGGGCCGTCGGTGTCGGTTGGGGCGTCGGAGGTGGATTTCCGGGTCGGCATTTTTGCTTGCTTGCTTGCTTGCTTGCTTGCTGTTTAGCAGTGCATCGAGTATTCTCTCTGGAGGCGCTGCTGGTGATTGTGGTGGGTAGTCTATGCTGTGGTAGATACCTTGAGGTGGATGACGCGAAAAGTCCGCGGACGCGAGGGTTGGCGCGTGGCGAGCTTTATCTTACCGCTGGAAGAAGGTACTACAGATATGTATGTAGCATACGACGAAGGTACAGAACTGCGTGCACTGGTAAAGTGTGTGCTTTGACCTGGTTTAGAGTATTTATTATAAATTCCTTGGAAGAATACCTAGAGTTGGAAGACTACCTTGGGTGAATCATTACGGTGTGCAGGTATATATTCTGCGAAATCCTCATCCACTTACCGCTAGTCTGAAATTTCCAACAACCACCCATGTCAAGATTGTCTGGAGTCAAATCTGGATAATCCACAAGTATTCCCGTGATAGACCATGACATAAGTAAGACGGCATGAGCGAGGCGTTTATGCGAGTTGGGAGTGGAGGTCGGATCTCGACTGAGGGGTTTGCTGTAGTACTGAATGTTGAGAATGAGCTGGATGCTTAGATAGATGGAAGATGGGCAGATGCTTATTAGAGGCCTGGTCTACATGGCCATTACAGGATACTGAAGGTGATATGAACCGTGGTAGAATCCCAGAGATATTGCTATCTATCTAACGTACTGTCCAAAGGAAGACTCAAGAACCGGGACAACGCCTTTTTGGTATCCATGAATGACTGAATGAACTGAAGAAAGAAAAGACCGTTCTCGTCGTACCATCTACTCCGCCATCTCCTCGTCGTCACCCTCGCCATTACCCCAGAGTCCCTCGATCTTGAACTCCGCGGCCCACTCGGTGACAATCTGTTTCGTGTCGACACCCGACTCGACAGGAGCAGTCGAGCCACCCTGGGCGGTCGTCACGACAGAAGGCAGGACGGGAGCGGTGGCCCAACCCTGGATGCGTCCGTCTCTCCAGTCGTTGATCACGGTCATGGCGGCGCTCTCAAGATTTGGTACACCGCCCTTGCCGAGACGACCGCGTTTGCGAGCGACCTGGATCAAGAAGTCGGTGGTCTGATCGTTACCCGACGGGAAGAGTGGGGGGATGTTGTAGAGTTGGAGCATCTTCGACATGAGCTGCTCGGAAGACGACAAACGTCTGAGGAGCAGACTGACGGCGGGGATGGGATCCTCAATCTGCTTGGGAGGGACGGCGTTGAGCAGAACCAGGCGAGCATGCTCGTCCTTCTTGTTCTTGCTCTTCTTCTTATCGCTGGCGTTGGGGAAGACGATACCGGGCGAATCAATGAGTTTGAGCTTGCTGTCCAGCTTCACCTGTCTCAGACTGGTGGTCACGCCGGCCTCGGCGCCAGTGGGGCATGCGTTGCTCGATCCCTTGTTGAGACGAGCAGTCAGCGCATTGATGACGGACGACTTGCCCACGTTGGGGTAACCGATGATGCCGACCGAGATAGACCGCTTCAGCTGCTTGTTGGCTGCATATGACTTGAGGGCGCGGAAGAGCGTCTCCGAGGTGCCCTTGACGGTCAGCTGCTTGTGGTCGAAGGTGTGTGCGTTGGCCGAGCCATTGGCCGCCTTAAGCGGCAGCGTGGGGAAGGATCGTCGCAAATGCAGCAGCCAGCCCTTGAGCACAGGAGGAGGGACCAGATCGATCTTGTTCAGAATCAAGATCAGTCTCTTGGAGCCTCCATCTGCAGCCATCACTTCACGCTCGACCTCCTTCGACCGGGTGCCTTCCGGATCACGAGCATCAAGCACGTACAAGATCACATCCGCAGCCTCAACGACCTGCTTGAACACCTTGTCGAACGCCCGCCGTGAGTTTTCTTTCGAGATGGGCTGTGAGACAAGCTCGGGGATATTGTCGCCTAGTGTAGCACCGCCTTCTTCCTCGTCTTCGTCCATGCCGTCCACATCATCATCGTCGTCGTCCTCGTCCATTTCGTCATCCTCATCATCCTCGTCACCGTGTTCATCCTCATACTCGGCGGCCCGCGCACGGGCGGAGGCAAGCAGAGCAGCCATGGGGTTCGACGAGTCAAGATCCTCCTCATCCATATCCTCATCAATCTCTTCGTCATCAATCATAGCGTTGGGGACAGACTCTCCACCCTCAGACTGCTGCTTCTCGGCCATTCGGCGAGCACGTGCTTCCTCCTTGAGACGCTGTTGCTCCTCTGCCTTCAATCTCTTCTTTTCCTCGATCTCATGGAGAATCTTGTCCTTGAATGGGAACAGATTGGGGATACCGGGATCCTTCTTGACCTTGGAACGCCATTCGGGATTCTACCGACAAAGACGTTAGTTTCCTTTGCCCATTTCACGAGCCACGAGAACAAAATTACCTGCTTCGCAAGCTTTCTAGCCTTTCGCTGCTTCGCCGCAGCAGCTTTCTCAATCTTGTGTCGTAGGCGGACGGGCTTCCGCTTCGAATTCTTCCCTGTACCCGACAGTCAGCGACCATATTCACTGACAAACTGAGTGACAAACTGAATGAAATCATACCAAAATTATTCTTGACCATCTTGACAGACTACAGACACAGCCCGTCTAAAAATGCACTCCAGAAAAGAGGAAGACAAAAGTTCTCCAGATAAGCGGCCCAGATCCTCTTCAGATATTTTTTGCAAACTTGGGCCGACGCCAAGATTTCACCGCGCTAAGATAACCGGACTATCTCTTGTGCCGATCTCCGGTCCGCCCGCTGGAAACATTGTGTTGGCGGGGTTTGGAGTAGATATAGAAATCCATACAGAGGGGCTATCATTTGTACAAAGAATCTTCTCGACGTTCGTTGTGTTGTATAGTCGTTCATTATAGATTAGACAGTTGCTTACGGTTGACGCATTGTGGCATTCGATCTGCATTCAAGAATCTCTTTCTCTCAACTGGTCTCTACCAACTCAGTTACTCAGCCCAACATGTCCCATTCCGAAGGCTCATTCTCTGCCCCTCCACAAGTCCACACTTTTGATGGACTCTTGTCCGATTTCGATGGGACGATAGTTGACTCGACGGATGGTTAGTTCTCACCAGATTATACCGAGGTCTCTCTCTAACGACATATGCGCGAACAGCGATCGTCAAGCACTGGCACAAGTAAGTCCGCCAATATACGACTATCTACAAATCCTGTATCTAAGTACAGTCAGAATCGGCGCCGAGCTAGGCGTGGACCCCAAGGCCATCCTCGCCACATCCCACGGCCGAAGAAGTATCGATGTCATCAAGCTGTATGACCCCTCCAAGGCCAACTGGGAATGTAAGTACTCGCTATACGTTATCTACCAACCATCGGCCCAAGACCCAAGCTGACACACTGCTCCAACAGACGTCAGCTACATCGAAGGCCGCATCCCCAAAGAATACGGTTCCGACGCAGTCGAGATCCCCGGCGCCAGAACCCTCCTCAACGAGCTGGACGAGTCCGGTGCGCGCTGGGGCGTCGTGACGTCCGGAACCCGCGCTCTGATCGACGGCTGGCTGGGTGTCCTCAACCTCACACATCCCAAGGTGCTGGTCGTCGCGGAGGACGTCGAGCTGGGCAAGCCTGATCCCCGGTGCTACCTGCTTGGCCGGTCACGGCTGGACCTGGAGCACTCCACGTCCCTGGTGGTGCTGGAAGACGCGCCTTCGGGCATCCGGGCGGGCAAGGCCGCCGGGTTCAAGGTGATTGCGCTGACGACGACGCACACTCTCGAGCAGTGTCGGGAGGCCGGGGCGGATTGGATTGTGGAGGACTTGAGGAGCATTTCGGTCAAGGGTGTCGAGGATGGGAAGCTTCAGTTGGAAATCAGGAACGCGTTTCAATAAAGGGTGAACAGGAGGGGCAAGACCTCACATGGAGTCCAATAGAGGGGTCAATGGTCTGGGCTCTTTTGTCAATCTTTTCTGCTTTGTATATAGAATGGTTTGCAGAGTAAATATTATAGAAAGATAGTACGATACTTACAAATATTCACCACTTGGATGAAAATACCTTTGCTGCCAGCTTTAAGTGTCTGACTAATATGACAGGTACGTACTATTGTGCCGGAAGTCCATGCCTTGCATCGCACTAATCAGAGATGTGGTGCCATTCGCGAATGGACAAAAAAGGCCCCAATGACAAATAATCAGCCTTGATGAACGGTGGAACGGTTCTGGAGAAGCCAGACCAATTGAACCTTGAAACTCTATTCTCGGCAATCATCCACCGAGTATCTAGCCGAATGGACCGATCTGGTATCGGTTTACACGGTATGAGCCTATATTGACTGTTGGCCTAGAAACAAGGTCAAAAATCGATAGGGAATAGCCTTGAACCCCTTCCTCACACTCTGATGAGCTTAAAATTCACTACAAACCCACTAACTCAACTCCTGGCGGTGAAGACCTTGCGTTATGGAGTCTGTCGGACAATTCCTAGGGTCGATTACAGTAGTGATGCTCATATTGTCAGCTTCACCTGTGCTGAGAAGGACACTCACCGCGATGGCAGACTCTTCACCGCTCCACGATCATGCTCTCGGTTTGATATGTCTCCAAGGAGCAGACAAGAACTGCGCAACTTCATAAGATTACTAGAACAGACAACGCTAGCGCCTAGATAACAAAAGCATGACGCTGGAGCTCTGCTAGAGTAAGCTTGCAGCTGTAGCTATGCATAGTATTCTCGGCATGCTCACCGACACCCTCAAGTTCTGGAGGAGCTCACGGGGAAAACAAGACGGGCTGCGAGCGACAGCATGAACGGGGTTGCAGCATGCAGTTAGTTCAAAGTCCAAGCCAGATCCCCCATCTAGGCTTGTCTGTGGCTTGTTGCAGCTTCTTTTGCCATTCGAAATAGTTCCACACGAGCGGAGTGCAGTGAAGGAGTCGATAGACTCGTCGATAGAAGGAGGCAATCGAGTTCTGGAAACTGGGGAGTCGATCGGTCTCGGCCGATCTAGAGTCAGAAATCTGATACGTATCATTTCACCCGTT